TTTTTTTTACAGAAACATTTGCTTCTGTTTCAGTTTGTGTCCTGTCCTGAGCTACAAGATGTGCCGTACAGCGCTGACCTGTCTTCGGTAGACGACGACCAGCAGGTTCACCCCATCACCAAGTCRCATTCCCGCTGGCTGCTTCATCCACCGGGAGCTTCCCCGGAGCCTCCCGCTGCAGAGCACCACTCCATGACGCTCTGCAGTGACCTGGAGCCGTACGTCAGTCTGGTGGCAGAGCTGACCACGGAGAAAGTAGAGGAGGAGCAGAAACCCGACCGACTGAAGGAACAGATGGAAACATCAGAGGACGACTCCGGTGAAAATTCAGAACCCAGTTTATCAGTGCAACACACCAGAGAACAGCCCATGACTTTCAGCAACGCCGCTTATTACTATCTGTACAACCGACTGGTGGATTTCCTCACTAGCAGAGACATCGTGAACCAGCAGATCAGCTATGTTGTAAAGGCCTGCCAACCTGGGGAGGTGGCAATCAGGGACYCTTTGTACAGACTCGGAGTGGCACAGATCAACACCGAATAAAGAGGAAAATGAAGGACAGAGGAGATGGAAGGAGATCTGGTAAGAACTGCGGAGTGGTCAGTAGCATTACTGCAAAAAAAAAAAAAAGCTTCTCAGTATTTTCATGATGCAATTTTTAAACATATAATCAGTAACTAATTGTTATACCTCTGTGCGCTCCGGTAAATGTAAGAGTGAATGACATCATCATTTGTCAGTGATCATTTCTTTTGGTTTAAGAAAAGAGTTTAACGAATGTAAGACTTGAATCTGTGCTGCCCCCTGACAGGAGGAATGTAAACTATTATTGACTGAACTTCTTTAAACCCAAATCTATAAAGCTTGTAACATATTTATTYCCCATTTTTTATTCAGACATACAGATTTTACCGCCTTTAGGCCTGAAGTTTTCAGATTCAAAGTGATACATGATGTGGAAATTTTTTCTTGTTTTATTACAACAGCTCATCCGTCTGCCAGGTAAAATTAATGTGGGCTAACAATACAGCAAATTTGGCTGCAGAATTTTACTTMGTTCAATAAACACCAGATCAGTCACATGACCATGTTATGGAAATAGACTATAGAGACGGAGCACCTTCACCAGATGAATCTGATTGCCATCAACAAACAATAAACTTTACTGGATTAACGTCAGCTTTCAGACATCGATTTCCTTATTTTAGTTTCATCCTTTTCCAGGAAAGCAAGTGTTCAAGGCTTTTATGAAGTAATTCAAAAGACGTAAACATTTGGGTCCATGTTTCAACTGTCTGACTTTGGAGATTAATCCAAAGAATTAAAGTGGTCTTTCTTCATTGTACTTTATTCAATCTAATTTATGCTATATTTCAGTTTAAAAAGTGGCAACAATTATGATTCTACCCCATTTATGCTTAGCAGTTTGTATAGTGTTTTTTTTTTTGTGGTTGTGTTGCTTAAGGACAGCGTGATCTAAGTAGAGCTTGAAGCAGAAACATTTACGTTTTTGATAGAAAACCAGCTTGACTGTAATTTGACACTGTCAGCTTTTAACGGGGCCACTAGTGTTTGAACGGTTCCTGACCGTCAGAACCAKCTCCAGCTCACCTGGTGGAAACAGATTTGATCTTTTTTTTTTAAAGACCATCAGTCTTTCAGGAAGTCCTGATGCATCTCAAAAATTCATCTAGAAAAATCTAACAAAGTTGAGTCAGGTCCTCTGGACAGGTTCTTCAGTGAATGAATGAATGAATTTTATTTATGAGAACAATGTGCAATTAAAACATAAACATAAAAACATTTGATGCATTACACCAGATTTAGCCAAAGGCTAGTTTACATCTGCAGCCCTCTAAAAATAAAAACAAAACAGCATCCGACAATAATAAAAACAAGAAAAGAAAATAACAGAAAAATTAAAACAATTTAAAATAAAACATTTTGCAATCTACAGTAAAAATACATAAACACCCCACTCTCCAAACACAATTAAAACGTTATATCACTAAACATTCAACAAAAAAACCCGCAACTCCCCAAACCAAAAGCAAACTCTAAAATRGATTACCCAGTGCAATTCAGTGATTTCAACGCTGAATAGATTTAAGATATTTTTTAAGGTTATTTTTAAAACTAATAAAAAAACTACAGTTTTTTACATGATCGATGGCTTTAACCGAAAAAGCTGCTTGACCAAAGGCTGAGCGTCGATCAGGAACTTCACAGTTCTGTCTGGATGTTCTGGTTAAGTGCAAAGAAACAGGTGAACGACAATAAACAAATTTTTGCGAACAGATTAGCGCTAAACCGTTTAAAATTTTATATACTGTTTCCATATTTGAAAAAAAAAAACAACCTAAAATTCTCAAAAGAAAACAAGTTATATTTCTGCACAATCTGACAACGATGGTGTCTTAAAGGCTTGTTGTCCAATATTTTGAGGACCTGTTTGTAACAAGACTCTACAGGTTTTATCACTGACACATTGGCTTGTCCCCAACATGAAATACAATATGAGATGTGTGAAAAAATGAGTGCATACATGAATATCTTGGACGCTTCCAATGACAAACAAGATCTAACATGTCTAAAATTGACCAAGTTATATCTAACAGTTTCTGTCATTTTTTAAATGTTTCTTGTAGATGAAGTTTGAATCCAAAAAACCTCCCAGATACTTAAACTCAGTCACAGTATCAATTTGTTTACACTTGATGTAAATGTTTAAATTTGAAGTGTCCAATTTAGTTTTAGAGAAAAACATACTTTTTTGCTTTGTTTACATTTAAAGTCAGACAGGATTGATTTAACCAGTCAACCACTCCCTCCAGYTCTTTGGTTAATTTCTCAGCCYCAAGTTGAGCCYTTTTAGCATGRGTGTACAGAACAGTGTCATCCACATATAACTGGACTTCTACTTCYTGACAAAACTTTGGAAGGTCATRGATGTAAAGACTAAAAAGCAGGGGTCRAAGCACAGATCCTTGTGGTACACCCARTGTGCATTTTAGGAAACTGGAATGTACATCTTTGATACTTCTTTATTGAAATGTTTTGTCTCTTCTTCAGGAGATTTTTTTCAATCTGAGGAATCAATCAAAACTAGTTCACATGCAAAAGAGGACCAGCAGCCTAACAACTGATTGTAAAGGCCCCCACATCCTCGGGTGTACTTMGGTCTGCGGAGGTCCGCGCGGATTCGAGGAGGACTCAATGCGGACCCGAAGCGGTCTGGTCCGCGCAGAGATCAATTTTTTATGTCCGCGTCGTCCGCGGTGCGCACAATGGCATGTACTGTACTGGGTGCAACACCAAGCCGATAAAGTTGAGAATCAGTGTCATTTGTGGACGAAATGGAGTCAAATCTTGAAAAGCGTCTCATGGAGGAGATTAGAAAACTTTATGATGTGTCAATGAAGGAATATGAAGACTTTCAGTGAGCAAAAAATTTGTGGGAGGAAATAGCTCAGATCCTGGGTAAGGTAGTTCTTTTCTTTTTTTCTTTTATGGTTTTTAAAGCTAAAATGCAAACTATCTCTTCCTCCTGATCCTTGACATCATGACTGAAATTGCGAGAAATTAAAGAATTCGTCGGGCGGTCAGTACGCTCGAGTATGAAGTCTCAAACATCCGRGGACAARATGRGCATAGTCCACACAATTCATGGAATACGCACAGTACGCCCGAGTATGTGGGAGCCTTTAGTGCTCTGATGGTGACCAATCATCAGGCTCCCAGTGCTCTTTTGCATGAAGACTTATAGGTTTGAGCTGGTTGYCTCTCACAAGGTGCTGTTTGCAGTCGTTTATCGACCTCTCAAATATAATAAGGACTTCATAAATGACTTTGCAGATATTTTGGCTGACATTATGCCTAAATATGATCGGGTTCTTATTGTCGGTGATTTTAATATTCATGTGTGTTGTCCTGACTCTCCAATGGCAAAGGCCTTTTTAGATCTCATTGACTTTTAATTTTGTACAGTCTGTGGCTGGTCTCACTCAAGAACACGGACACACACTTGACCTGATTTTATCTTTTGGTTTACCTGTTTTTAACTTGCAGATCTGTGTATCTGTGTTTTCTGATCAATTGCCTGTTTTATTTGCTGTCACTCTCACTCGCGCCACAGTTAAACCTGCACTGCAGCTCGGCTCTGTTGTGTTTTTAACTCTTCCGCTACTGAACAGTTTTTAGATGGTTTTAATCAAAACTATCCCATTCCAGAGTCTGTATGTAACAACACAGAGGAGCTGAGCTCCTGGTTTCACACCACCTGCAGAACTGTTTTGGACACTGTGGCTCCACTAAAAACCAGGCCGCCTAAAACCAGATCAGAGCCCTGGTTAAATGATGAAACTCGTCTTGTCAGACGTGAGTGCCGGAGAGCTGAGCGGAAGTGGAAAAAGGACAAGTTGGAGTTGTCCRTTTAAATTTTAAAGGATTGCTGGCGTCACTATCAAAGGACTGTCAAAAATGCTGAAAGAAAACACTTCTCAGATTTAATGATGTCAAATCATCACAATCCTTCTATTTTATTTAAAACCATTGATGCTGTCTTAAATGCTCCACAGACTGTTTTGAGCCATCTTCTGCTGCTTGTGAGAAATTTCTTCACTTTTTTACTGATAAGGTTACTTCCACTAGGGCTGGGATATCTGTTTCCACATATGACCCCTCGATCCTTGTTCCTTGCTTTGTTGTTTTTGATAGATTTCAGCCTACCACTTTGTCTGGTTTTAAATCACTACACAGCACACAATCAAGTRTTTTAAAAGTTTTTAAAGATAAATATTTGGCCACTGACTCTGGAAATTGTGTTATTCTTGTGCTTTTAGACTTAACTGCTGCCTTTGACACTGTGGACCATCAGATTTTATTTTCTCGTTTGGAGCAGTGGGTGGGCATTAGGGGCACAGCACTGGAGTGGTTCAGATCTTATGAGTGAGAGAACATTCTGTGTTGGCCTTGGGGATTATGCGTCCTTTTCTTCTCCTGTCTCATGTGGAGCCTCACAGGGTTCAGTCTTAGGACCCCTCCTTTTTTTGTCTTTATTAGCTTCCACTTAGGTCCATTTTTAGAAAGCATGGAATTTCATTTCACTTTTATGCAGATGATTGTCAGGTTTCTGTCCCCTCAAGAAAAATGACTCATTCTCCACTGAACCACTGCTAAAATTTCTTGAGGACTTGAAGTAMTGCTGGGGGGTATACCGTTTTGTACCGAAAACCGGTTTTTGTTTTTGTTATGATATGACTTTTCTGAATACCGTTATAGCCTGAACATGTGCGGAACATTTCCTCGCACCACCGCTAAGCGCATTAGCATGCTAACGTTATTGTTGGAACAACTGGCTGCGGGTGGTGTGTTTCAGCTGCTTATATGGTCTGACGTAAAAAAAAAAAGCGTCCCATTTTCACCATTGCTGAATAGTAAACAACTCTTCAGTGACGTGCACGGTTAGATTTAACGCTCTACGTTATAATGGAGACATTAATGCATGGAGACTCTAGCGTACTTCTATTGTGAAAAGCCCGGGGGGAAGTAGTTTTATAGTGTAGCGAAGTTGACTGATGTGCAAAGTGAGTCGTCCTTTTAAGTTTTATTAACGCGTAACGATAGACCAGATAAGGATTTTTTCTCAACCCTTCACGATCAGACCTAAATGCATAATTACTGTCTACAACCAGGCAAAGAAGAAAAGACGTACAAGAGGAGGGAAACAGTGATACAGAGGTACAGTAAAAGAAAAAAGTCAATAAGCAAAGTTTGTACATTTTATTATCAGCTGAGCTGTGAGGAAAAAAATACKGTCAAATACCATGAAACCAYTGTAATTGTTGAAAATACCGTGGTATAAAATTTGGGTCATACCGCCAAGCTCTAACTTGAAGGCCTGGATGGCTTTCATTTCTTTACGTTTGAATGAGAAGAAAACTGCGGTTATGTTTTATGGCACATCCACTGATATTCCTCTTGTGGATTTACAGTCCTTGACTCCATACATCAAACCAGTCATAACAAATCTGGGGGTCAAGGTGGACAGTGATCTTAGATTTGATAAACATATAAGAGCAGTGGTGAAATCCAGCTTTTTTCATTTAAGGCAGCTGGATAAAGTCAAGCCCATTCTTTCTAGAAAGATCTTTGAGGCAGTAATCCACTCCATTACCCCTCGGTTAGACTACTGTAATGGGCTTTATATAGGGGTCAGTGCTTCCTCTGTCGCTCACCTCCAGAGGGTCCAAAATGCTGCCGCATGTCTTTTAACTGGCACAAAAAAGCATGAGCACATTTCCCCTGTTTTAGCCTCACTGCACTGTCTGCCTGTTAATTTTAGGATTCATTTTAAAGTTCTTTTATTTGTTTTTAAAGCATGAAATGGTCTTGCCCCACTTTACCTCACTGAGCTGATGCACCCCTATACGCCCTCCCGTTCTGAGGTCAGCAGACCAGCTGATCCTGAGAATCTCAAAAACTAACCGTAAGCTTAGAGGGGATCGTTCCTTCTCCACTGCTGCTCCTAAAATGTGGAGCAACGTACCTTTGGGCATCAGACAGGCCATGTCTTGTCGGCTTTTAAAACGCTACTCAAAACCCATCTCTTCTTTTTGGCTTTTGGCTCCATCTGAGATGTTGACTTTTAGTTTGTTTTGAGATTATTTTATTGTTGTTTTAATTGGTTTTATGTGTTTGTTTTATTGTATAGTTTTAATTTTTGGATTTGGCTTTTATTATGTACTGTGACTGTTGTGTGTTTTATAGACTGTGACTGAATATACAGCACTTTGGTCCTATGGTTGTTTAAGTGCTTTATAAATAAAGTTGGTATGGTATGGTATGGTATGGTATGGTATGGTATAAGGCTGAGCTTACCTTTGCTTACCGTTTCAACGTCAAATAACCTGTTCTGAGGATCTGATTCAACTTTGTAAAATGTTTCAAGAACTTATATTCAGATACAAGTTTAACTTTCAAGCACAACTTGTACACATATTTAAAGATGTGGTAATGGAGGCACGGTGACTCAGTGGTTAGAGCTGTCCCCTCTCAGCAGCTATGTTTACATGGACGTAAGTAATCGGATTAAATGGCCAATCAGAATAAAAATGCATCAGGTAAATGCTCCAATCAGAACATTCTGATCTGATTCAGCTCGATCTGGATTAATTTGAAATCTAAATGAGAGGGTTGGTTTATGCTGATTGATAATCCGAATGGCGTGCATGTAAACACTCAATCTGATCATGTTATTCTGGTTGTGAAAACCTGACCTGACTGTGCATGTCTTCTGACTTTCATCCACTGGTTTCTTGTCTCTTGTACAGGGATGTTTATTTCCTCCCACTCTCTCAACTGATAAAGAAGGTGGACAAACAGATACGTTGCTTCGACAAAAAAAGTACGTTGTTTCGCCTGTAGCTCAATCAGGGAGTGCAGTAACATCTTTCACCAATGTGAAAACCTCAAAAGACATTTGTTTATGTTCATCATGGAAGTAGAACACCTCCTTTTGTAGTTTTTTAGGAAAACTTTACAACTCTGCGTGTCAGCACTTCTAATCTGAATAAAAACTCGGCGCATGTAGATGCGTGTCATGACAGGATTGTGCCTGTGTAAACAATACACATCAACCCAATCAAAGGATTTTGCACATGTAAACATAGCAAGTGAGAAGGTCACATGATCATCTTCCAGCCTGGGGCCTTTCTGGGTGGAGTTTACATGTTTTCRCTGTGCACAAGTGGGTTTTCTCTGGGTACTCTGGTTTTCTCCCACAGACTAAAAACAGGCATGTTTGGTTAATTGATAACTAAATTATCCTGAAGTGTGAGTGCCGCCTCTCACACAGTGACTGCTGCAGACAGGCCCCAGCTCTCTGACCTGGAAAGGAGAAGTGGGTAAACAAAATAGAAGGATGGAAGCTTGTGGTATTGAAGGGTATAAGGTTTTTCTTTAGTCTCTGGTATGAAAAGCAAAAGATGATGTGCATTTCTTTAATTTATTCTAAGCCCTTAACTACTTTTTTTTGTTTTGTTTTAAATTTTTACAAACCAGGAAATTTTTCATTTAAACAGGTTTGAAAAACTRGGCAACAGTTTAGTTTGAATAGTTTGCAATAATTCATGAAAGATGTAATTAGAGCATCTCTAAAGGCAAAACTTTACAAATGCTTTCTGTTTAAAATGATCTGAGTTTAAACTTCAAAGTCCAGGAGAGGTCTACGGATTTACAGCGAGGTCAATACTTCCCTGCTGAGATTTCAGACTTGTGCAATATTAACCCATATTGTGGGAAACGTTTCAGAGGAAATGCAGATTGGATGATATCTAGTAGAAAACAGGAAGTGATGAGAGAACTCAAAAGACCACACGGTTTCTATCAACAAAGACACAACAACAACAAAATAAAACTTCATTTAGTACTCCAGAAATATATAAACTAATATTCACAAATGAGATCTTTTAATAGTAAAGCTTTATTAAACATCTCAGAAGTTTTACAGTGATTTGCTGATTGCATTGATTTGCACAAAAAAATCAAAATAATTTCAGTGTCTTACTATCGAAAACATTTCAGTGAAAATAAAGATGATTTTTTTGTGATATATATATATATATATATATATATGTGTGTGTGTGTTTATATGTACACTATGAGACATCTAACTTGTGACTGTATCGCACACATAGCTTATAYGTCCATCTTAAATCATCACACAGTTGGCAGTGAAAGGCTTTTTGCTACATACACACAGTTCAGCACTCACAAAGCTCTACATGACTCCGAAAACAGAAAAAAATATTTTTCACATTGTCAAACATGAAACARTACATCTGGTCCAGGATGGATCCTCAGATTTCCCTGCTCTTAAACTGGGTTGAACATCAGTAAATGAATTAAAGTGAAGCAGAACAATCACATGCTGCCGACCAAAGATGCTCACAGTAAATGTGTTGCAAGTCATACAGCCGTGACTGAAGCGCAAAAAAAGGGCAAAACAACACGGCCATTCTTTTCCAACATTTTAGTTCATTTGCATGTTTTAATCACGAGTTTGTAGACATTCACTCTTCAGATGCTCACTTTTAAGGAACAAAAGCTAATTTAAGTGGAACAAGTAATGGATCAAGTAGTGGTTGAGACCATATTGAGCTGTTTCCTCTAGGTAACAGTGCATTTAATAAAGTTGTGAAAAAGGGGATCCTGCTGACTTAAACCTCCACAACAAAAAATCAATACTTAGAAGGCAGTAATATGGATAAAAATAGCTGTAATAAACATAAAGTACATTAGATAACATTATCAGAAAAGAGGTCATGAAACACACACCAGAGGGACTTATTAGATAAAGCTTTGGCTGATGGTGTGACAACATATTTCCTCCTTTCGTGTCCACAGCTGGAGTAGACGTGGCAGTTTCTAGTCACAGTCTGCACAGTCACATGCCTTCGCTGCAGTCGCTAGTCTGTCTGGGCAAGAAGGCGCAAAAATAGCTGAGAGGGCAACAGCAGCTTGCAGCTCTGCAAACTGCTCCAGCCACAAGTGTTTCTCACGTTCCCAGTGGCTCACCGATGACCGATTGGTTTGCTAATACGTCTCCGCTCAGGGCTTTCAACAGAACTGGTAGTTGTTGTTGCTCTTCATCAGAGGCTGCTCTTCTTCCTCGTGGTCACAAGACTGGTCATGGGGGCACTTGGGCTTGTCATCCTCACCACCCTCTGTGACTTCCTGCTCCATATTCTGGTAGATTACCTGAGGAGGGGGATCATTAAGGTGGTTACATTTGAACAGAGAAGGTCTGTTTTATCCAAAAAAGCAGTGGTTTTGGGTGCATCCTGTTCTTTGACAAAGTGCTGCTTTTTTAGATTGTTGAACCTTTTGGCAACCAAAATACAATTTAATTAATTGCTTAAGTCACATAGTAAAATCAGTTGTTTCTTTTGGGGAAATAAAAAAGGAACCACAATTTTCCTCAGGACATCTCGTTTGGAACATCACATGTTTGAGCTCCTCGGTTGGCTTTAATGAAACCAGTAGGTTGTGTCAGACTAACTCACCTGTTCCTGCACAAGCTGGTCCCCAAGGAGTTGTTCTATCATCTGGCTAATTTTGTTAAATGTTGGGCGCTTTGTTGGCTCCAGATTCCAGCACATCTTCATGATGGTGTATCTGGAATAAAAAAAAACAACAAAGAAGCTCAGTTTTAATTGTTTATATTGAGAAAGGTAAAGTCAGAAAACGTAATAATAAAATCAAATGAGGCCAGTACTGAGGGGCATTATTGAGGTCGTGACGCAGGTCGAGAAGAGAGGCTTGTTCATACAGACCTCTAGTCCTGAAGTCTCCTTTTTGCTTCCATGAAATAGCAGTTACACGGCATCACTAGCTTGGAGATCATGTGGCTAACAGGCAGAACTGAGGCCTGACTCACAGCAGGACAACAGATGATTAGACCCTGACTCAGATTTAGTCCCCTCTCTTTCCACGGCACGATTCATTCTGGGTGCTGTGACAGCTGTGAAGCCCCCTCGAGATACCGGAAGAAACTTAATTTTCTCACTTTTTTTCAGTTCAGCGCTTGAGCTCTTTGAGTTTGTACTCAAGAACTGAGCAGTTATTAAAATCTGTTGTAATGGAAGTGCTTTGTGAGGTTACAAGTGTCAGTAATTTTAGGATGTGAGCTAAGCCGCAGAAGAAGCTGGAGGAGAAAAAGGGTTTCTTTGTTTGGCTGGGATAAACATTGGGACAGTAAGCTGTTTCATTTCTCTGATGTTATCATCAGCTCAGGCTAAATCAGCTAAAACTTACTGCATGTTGGTTCATCATTTACATGGAAGTGTAGCTGCATTAGTAGTATTACCTCCACAGCTTGCTCACTGATACGCTATAGACTCYAAGGCAGCTGTTACTTGTCAGAGCCTGCTGACGGTCACTTGATACCATGCTAATGCTCATCTGATAATAAAGCAGGGCTAAGCAAAGCTTTGTTGGCTGGCCAATGTAATGGGTTATTTGGAATGGAAAAACAAAGCAGGAGCTTTCTCTGAACTAAACTTACATTTCAGGTGGAGCAAAATCGGGTTGGGACATCTGGTAGCCACGTTTTACCATCTTGTAGAACCTAGAGTCCACAGCCATGCTCGGGTACGGACTTTGGCCTAACAAAGAATTCAAAGTTGGSTTTTTTTGGAGACAATAAAAAGACAATGAAAATGAGTGCATGCAAGCAAATGTTTTAACCTAAAGAGAAAATCTCCCATAGGAGGATGCCATAGGACCAAACATCGCTCTGGACAGTGTAGAGGCAGTCGAAGATGCTCTCCGGTGCCATCCATTTGACCGGCAGACGGGCCTTCAATCACATACCAAAAGAAAGGGTCTAAAGAGGGGGTCTAAATTCATCTCCCCAGCTGGCGGTTACTCAAAGCGCTTACATTGCCCTTCACAACATAGTTGGAGTCGTTCATGATGTCCCGCGCCAAGCCAAAGTCACAAATCTTTGCTTCTCTACGGCTGGTAAGGAGGACATTTCTGGCTGCAACATCCCTGTGAATACACTGAACAATAGACACAACCACAAAGGTTGTCTCAGTTTATAAGGTCTTGCATTACAAACAAATCAGTATCAATTACACCCCCAAGCATCAAATGTTCTGAACACAACTAACCTCTGACTGTTTTAACCAGTGGTTCTTAACTTGGGTTCGATCGAACCCTAGGGGTTCGATGAGCCGGTCTCAGGGGTTCAGGGGTAATAAATAAAAGAACAACGGACAAACATGGAAATTCACTGTATTGATTTCACATCCAACATTTCACATGCTCCTTTTAAAATCGCTCTTTCATAGAAATGAGTTTGTCTTCTCAAACACAGAGTGTCGTGCTGCTTTGAGGAATGACAAAGCAGCTTTTGTTATTCACTAGCACGGCGGTGTTCTTTCAGAAATATATATTTTTTCTTACATTTTTGGCAGCCAAAAAGTCAAGGCCCTGAGCTACTTGAAGGGAGAATCTCAGCAGGTCGTCCATATCCAGTGGCCAGTCACCGGTCTCCTCACAACCAGACTCTGTGAATCAGGAAAATACATTACTTGGAAAAAAAGAGGCCTGCAATGTTTGCCTGTTGAGGCTGTTATGTAATTTGATCATTACTGATGAGTTTACCTGGTTCTGTGTTCGGTAGCTGAGTGGGTCTCATCTCCAGGTAACTGCCGGAGGCTGTGCTGGAGATCCCACTATCACTGTTACACACACAAAAAAAGCAAAAAGATCACAGTGAGTGGACATGTTTMATCTTTTCTCTGTCTGAGATGGACATTTGTCAATGTACCTTCTGATAAACTGCTTCTGAATGCAGATGTTCTTGTAGTTGTTAGAGTTCTCCTCAATGTCTGGAATATTCATAACAGAGTCTACGAATGTCTCTGCCTTCTGGCGAAGGAAGTTCAGGAGGTCGCCAAAGCTGCAGTACTCAGTGATCACAAGGACGGGTCCTGGTGAGGAAACACACCACGTCACAGTTTTGAAATGAGTTTTTTTCCATTTGTGCAAATTGCTTGGCAACAGTTGAGTTGGCATGGACTGAAAAAACTTTTCTAAACATGTTTTTAACCGTCTGACCTCCGTAAGTGCAGGCTCCGAGTAGATTGACAATGTTTTTGTGGTGTCCAAGGTGGCTCAGGATCTTCAGCTCAGACATCAAAGCCTCCCTCTCATCTGTATGGGCACTGGCTGCAGACAGACAGGAGAGACTGAGAGACTGCCAACCCATCATCTGATACAAACAATGTGGGAAAAACAACTGTGTGATGTTGTGTTTGGATGCTTGTCCTTCAGACTAACCAGTAATCTCTCAAATTTACCTTTTAGCATCTTCACAGCCACACGCATCACGTTGTCCTCTTTTCCCAAACCGTAAGCCGTGGCTTCAACAACCTTTCCYAACGCACCTGCGCCTAGGATCTTTCCTGTTTTAAAGGCAAAAATACATAGAATCCATGTTTTTAGAATACAGTAAAACTTTTTTAACATCTACATAAAAGTTGAGCTTCCAAAAGTTTTTAACCTAGTTTGAGTTTGTCTCTGGGGAACTCCCACTTCTCGTTGTACGGTAGCTGAGTGGGGTCGATGAAGGTGTAGTTGTTGCCATCTCTGGCCTCAATGATCTTCCAACGTATTTCAAACCTGGGTTTCTGAAAAGTTGAGTCATAGGCAAACATTTGATCTTTTGCTTAATATTGAACTAATTGTTTTGTTGAGGTTTCACTGTTCAAATTGAATTTTACCTGTTTGTATTTGTAAAACAGAAAAACCAGCAGCACCAGGAGGATCGCCAGAATCCCTGCAGCTCCACTCAGGGCGGTAGTGAAGAGCTTGTCTGTCCCATCAGACAAAAACCTTCATGAATGCGCTGGCTTGTTTAGACAGACAAACAAAACGTCACACACTCACCAGAAACCTCCATGGCAAAAGTGTCTCTGCTGATGCCAGCGAGATTGAAAGCCACACACTCCACAGTCATCCTCTGGTTGGACAGGCCCACGGTCAGGACGCTCTCCACCTCCACAGCGCCATTCTCCTCCCTCTGGACCTCCACAGTCGGAGCTTGGAGGGGTATCGCCAGCTGCAACCCTGGGGCGTTTTCATTTTCATCGCACCTGTCTCATCAGAAGAAAGACACACTTAAAGAAAAAGTACAGGAACAGTTGTGTTGAACATTAAAATACAATATTTTAGTTAAATACTGACGTTGGTCGTATTCCGAGGCACTGGTACCATTTGATTCTCGGAGCTGGATAGCCAAATGAGGTGCAAGTCAGTGTGGTCACATTTTCCCATCTCACCACAGCCACAGGCCTCTCTGTCACACATTAAAAGGAAGAAACTCAAYTTGAATAAAGTGACAGTAAGACCTGCTGAAGAGTTTTGCTGTTATGTCACTTACGATACATTTGGACTTGAAACGTGATGGATGCATTGGCCAAAGCACTGCTGGCATAGAAAGTGTACTGGCCCTGCTCCTGTCTGTTCATCCTCTTCAGCTGCAGACTGGCGTGGTATCTAATGCAACAAACAAAAACCAAAAGACAAAAAAAAAACAAAACAAACCAGGGATAAGGATGTCTGCGAAATAAGAAGTGACTAACTGTGTGGTTTGACTTCAGACAGTTCCTATATATCATTGTCCAGTACAAATTAAAAACAGAACAGTTCTCTTCCCTTTTGTAGTTTTATGACCTGAGTGGAGATACAGTGACCTTCCTGGTCAAATTCACACAAAATGCCCCTGACAGCAGTTTTTTAGAGCAGCTTCCCCTTTTGATGGAAAGGTCTAAAACGATTGGTCGTAGAGTTGCCGAACTTCGTCTACGTCACCTGTTGTTGTATTTGAAGAACTTGGGCTCCTGAGTGGATGTGCTGAGAGATGTCGGGGTGTGCCATTTGTGTTCAGTGATTTGAGGGTAGGCTTCGATGAGCACGTTGAGTTCCAGATCTTGGCCCTCATTCACCTCAATTGAGAGACCTCGGCGCGCCAGTTTCGGTGAGAGCTGGGGCAACAGCCTGATGTAAGGCTTGTCTGTTCGAAAGACGTAATTGGAGTATTTTTTTCAGTTTGATTTCTAACCATCAGTGTCAGACATGGCAGATGTGACTATTATTCTGTGGCTCACCCACAACCAGGAGGTACGTCGTCGTACTGTTCACCCCGGCTTCATTGGTACCAATGCAGGAGATGTTTCCTGTGTCTGCCAGGTCCACAGAAGCGATGGTCAGAATGCTCTGTATATCCAGACGATTCTCCCCGCTGGAGCGAACCATCTCCTCGATTGTTGGTGTCTGAGAACATGAGATCACAACTGAGCCAAAGTCCAGATAAGCCTCAATCAAGCTTTAACGTGGCCTTGCACTGACCGATTTGGTGGCGTATTTCCACGTGACATTGTAGTTGAAGTTGGGATTGTGTGTTTTACAGCGAATCTTAAGTTCCTCCCCAACGATGCGGACATACTCATCTGTCTCCAAGAAGACATATGGAGGTAAACGGAGCTCTGGGAGAAAGAAGACAACATTTAAAACAGGTGTTGGGTTTTGGAAAATTGTGTMCAGGTTTTATACGATTTGGTCTTACTCTGAATGATGTTGATAGAAAAGGCCTTAGAGATCCTTTCTACACCATTGACCTTGGCTGTGCAGACGTAGTCAGCGTTGAAGCTGGGGTGGAGGCTGTGGATGAGAATGCCTCTGTGCCTGTCCACGGTGAAGTTCATTCCCGGAGGGACGGACGTACCGTTGTCCATGCGCAGGCCCAGCTCYGTGGCTGATGGGTCCGTCAAGAGGCAGGGCAGCATGTACTCTTCACCTTCCTTCCTCACCACTCGCAGGGAGGTGCTGCTGGTCCAGAACACACGTTGCGGATCTAAAAGAAAAAGAGAAAACAATGAACAAGCATAGGTAAAAACCACATTTAACAATAAAAATATGGTTTCATTGAGTCCAACTCACCTTTCACATACACGTGGACCGAGGAGGTCAGATCACTGTCCTTGGATTCAGCCGTGTAYGAACACGTGTACGTTCCTGTAAATTCTGCCGTGAGGTGGTCCACTTTTAAAGTGCGGACATTCCCGCTGCCTTTAGACACGTGACGTTTGTGTTTTTTTAGTCTGGGGTGCCAGTACACAGGGCCATCCCCCTCACACGTCAGTATCAGACGACTCCCAGGCCTGACCACCACCTCAGAACCCTCCACTGACATTGAATTGAATTTGATCACCGGACGKCTCCATTCAACTGAAAACAGGACATTATCAAAAGAATCAAACATTTACAGAAGCTTAGCTTTTTCTCTTATAATGATTTACCATTTTTGTCTTTTTTTCATCTCATTTGATTGATGATTCAGATTTAATTTGGAAGCAATTGCATGCAATCAGAAAACATCTCTGTCGTTTTCACTTCTGCTTTACGGACTGTAGCTATTTTTGCACAAATAGCTGCAGAAACTAATTATGGAAAATTTCTCAAATGGTTGTATTTGTATGTAGGTCTTTGTGATCAACACCAAAAAAAATAAAAATAAAAAAATAAAACAAGAAGCACATTCAAGTGATTAAAGCATGGAAATTAGAGTAAAATATCTGAACATGTGTGAAGAAGAAGAAACCTCTAAAAAAGGACTTTAGGCCTCAGGAAAAAGTAACTTTTGTGTTGGTAAAGTGCTCCTTTTATGGATCTGAGTAAATTTTATAATTTTATAGACAAGCGCTGAAATTCTTAGGATTGGAGGGAAAGGCCTTGACTCTGAAGGAACTTGGACCAAATCCTTTTTCGTGTCTGAAGCTTTCATCTGAACACCAGTAAGGTTATACAAGTTTCCATTAAAGGTTTTTTTGGACCAWGCATGTTTTGAATCTCGAAGGAGAACTGAGATTCCACGTTCAGCATTTTTCTATCCACCGCATTCATTTTTGAAAGACACTGGGAATGAAATCAGTTTCACGCCAATCAGCAGTTCCGCGGTGAACCTCCTGAGTTTCTGTAGTTACCTTCCTCCTTATTCATTTATCTGACCCTGCAGTTAAATAATAATAACCTCAAAGCGATTCAATGGAGAGATGGAGATGAAATTCAAAATTGCAACATGGTGGGTGATTATTGTTGTTTATGAGATGCTCAGAACTGGTCTGAAATACAGAAGAAATGATAAAAAATGGYCAAAAACATCTTAAGAATGGCATCGCAAACAACCCATAATGCTATTGTAAATTGTCRGAATGATTACTGGCAGTGAACTGATGCTATAAAATATGAAATTAAACTGCTGAATCCTCATATAAAAGAGATTTAACTCTGTTGAAACATTTTTAGAGTATTATATAAGTAATTGGATCAGTGTGGCACAGAGAAAAATTGTGTCACAGCTGAAGTAAGTGAATTTTTTTATACACATTTACAGACTTGCTGTGTTGCTCATGACTTACTAACACCCATAAAAGACGGCGGACAAGTTGAAAGCCAGACATTAATATCTATAAAAAAAATAGAGTTGGGGAGTTTGTCCCGTCTTACCTGAAGCAGCAGAGGCCACCATCCCCAGCAACAGTGGGATGTAGCGCTGCATCCTGGATCAACTCCAAACCTGCAGGTTGGAGAGCAAAACGTGTGTGTGTGRCATGAAAACACTCCTCGTTTGACGTGTGTTGTCAGAGAGAGAAATGGAAAAACTGTCTAAYAAGCTGAGCTATCGCTCCATCCCATCTGCTACTTCTCCTTTCTGAGCAGAGCAGCTCTGCCCACGAGAAAGAATCATAAATTTTCAATTCCAAATCTGCAGTTAAACAGTTTTATTTTTGAAGAACATAGTCATTGTTTGAATGACTGTTCTCACCTCAGATGTCTTCAGTGGGTTTCAGAAGCCCCCAGACACGAGTCCCTTCTCGTCTCCACTGTTTGTCTCTGCTCTTATCCTCTTTTCTGCTTGTTTACCGTCTCCTCGCCGCAGAAAAGTCACACAGCAAACATCAGCAAGCACACAACGTGGTGAAGGGTGGAGGGAACTGTGAGTCAAAGGGAMGGGGTGGGGGGTTCAGCTTATCATGCTCGACAAATTAATGAGCCCGTGCAAATGTAGCAGAGGAAAAGCCAAGAGGGTGGGAGCAGTCATCTGTGTGATCACCTGTATCAGGGCTGAACTTTGGCTGTCAGGCTTTTCTAATTGATCAGGTTGGAGAGGGAAGAATTCTCAGGTGGTTCTTCAAAACTGATCTCAGCAGAAGAGATGTAGCACAGTGTACAATAAAATGTCACTTTTCAGAAGAGTTTTGAACAATTAACATCTTAAACTGTTGTAACATTTGAAAAGCTTCTGTTTAGACAAACACATTTTCTTTCTGATTGGATTAACAAACTCAGTGTCCAAACTAAAGTTGTCAGAATCTGTGTCTTTTGGTTTGCTTTTCATAAATGTTTTTGTGTTTGTTATTTTTAGATTTATTTCTTATTATCTAGATTATAGTGCCAGCACCAGCCAATTTGATGCTCTAGGTGAGATTTTAGTGCAGTTTCCTAAATGTCACTGACAATTCTCATACATTCACATACAAAATTAAATACATTTGTCTTTAATATTATCTTTTATCTAGAAACCATGTTGTCCAGTTAAAAAAGTTAAAATATATTTAATTTGATAAAGAACATCAGAAGTCTACCTTATATGTACCAACATCTGCTGTCACTAGTTATATTACTAAATACTTTGCCTTCTCTACATGTCTTTTCTCCTTGGAGTGCAGTTTGAGCTCACATAAGCACCAGAGCAGTGAGGGGATGTGTGCACACGCAGAGCAGGAGTAGACCAAGTAATTGAAGAGGAGGGGGGAGCTAAGCAAATTATCATTATTATTAGATGCATTTGATATTATTTGCAATGTCACTAAATTATTTAGATTTTTCATATAAGTAAGTATGGTCTGTTTGTTTTATTAAGAAAAGTGAAAGTTACTTTTTTTTCTTTCTGTTTTGATGATGCCCCTGGAGGACTGGTGCCCTTAACAATTCACCTACATAGCCGAACCATAATTACTTATAATAATACAAAATACAGTATGAATAATTACTTTTTCTTTGAGGCAGCAGTGCCCTCTCCAGCAGATGGTACCCTGGGTCAGTGATTCCCAACCAGGGGTACGTGGAAAAATTTCCCATGTGTGTAAAATTTTTTTTTAATAAAAATAGGACTGAGATTTGTAGGGCCTTATGATTTCCGCAGTGCAGAAGATGTAAACAGAATCATGAAATTAACACAAAATGAATCCAGTATAAAATGCAGATTCATACAGAATTTGCTCATGTTGGGTATTTGATCCTCTCCTTGGGCTGCTACCTTATCGTGGTGGAGGGGTTTGAGTGTCCCAATGATCCTAGGAGCTATGCTGTCTGGGGCTTTATGCCCCTGGTAGGGTCACCCATGGCAGACAGGTCCTAGGTGAGGAACCAGACAAAGCGCAGCCCGAAGACCCCTTATGATGAAATCAAACATTGGATCTGGCATTCCCTTGCCTGGACGCGGGTCACCGGGGCCCCCCTCTGGAGCCAGGCCTGGAG